GACCAGCCTGAGCAAGAGCGAGACCCCGTCTCTACTAAAATTAGAAAGAAATTAATCGGACAACTAAAAATATATAGAAAAAATTAGCCGGGCATGGTAGCACATGCCTGTAGTCCCAGCTACTCGGGAGGCTGAGGCAGAAGGATAGCTTCAGCCCAAAAGTTTGAGGTTGCTGTGAGCTAGGATGACGCCACGGCACTCTAGCCCAGGCAACACAGTGAGACTCTGTCTCAAAAAAAAAAAAAAAAAAAAGTCACGTTGACAGTATGTGCTCTTGATCTGATGTGATGAAAATGGTGCTTCACCTCTGTGGTCTTCTTCCTCATAATCTATAACTCTAGTTTAATGAGAAAAACATGGAGCAAATCCCAATGGAGGGAGTACTCTAGATAGAAAATATCTGACCAGTACTCTTCTAATAAAGAACAAAGACAGTCTAAGAAACTGTCACAGCCAAGAAGAGCCTAAGGAGCCATGACTACTAAATGTTTTGTAGTATCCTGGTTTGGATCCTGGACTAGTAAAAGGACATTAGGTAAAAAATTTAAAAATTTTTTTAAAAACCAAGGAAATCTGTATAAAGCATGGACTTTAGTTAATAACAATGTATCAATACAGGCTCACTAGCTGTAACAAATGTTCCATATTAATGTAAGATGCTAATAATAGGGGAAAACGGGCATGGGGTATATAGGGATTCTCTGCACTCTGTGATTTTTCTATAAAGTTCAGACTGTTCTAAAATAAAAAGTTTATTTAAAAAAATGAAGCCATTACTTAGGTTGACTAAGTTGTTGAAGGGAGGGAGGTCCCTTCAACAATATATATATATATACACACACACACACATACAACATAAAGTATATAGATCTATAAGTATACATATATATATACACACATTTAAATGTGTGTATATTATTCAAAGATGAATAAAACTCCGCAAATGCTCAAATTTTTAATAAGATATAACTGGGCTATCTGTAACAGCTGAAGGCTATTTTTCCCATATGCTCAGCTGAAAAAGTTGGACGTTGCCCAGCAGTTCAAGAAGCTGAATGTGAGGTAGCCACAGGGCAAACTGTGGTGGCAGTGAGTTCCTCAGTTAGGACTGGCTGGCACCATCCCTCCAACTATAACTCTCTAGAGCAACCGAACTACAAAAGTAACTTTAAATCTTCTAGTATCTGCATTTTAAGAAGTAACAAGTGAAATTAGTTTTAATAATGTTTTAAGTTTTAATAATATTTAACCCAATATATCCAAAATATAATTTCTCAATGTGGCAATAGCCACATTTCAAGTGCTCAATAGCTACATGCAGACAGTACAGCTCTAGAGCCATATATATTTTAAGCAAACCACAGTATTCGCAACAAAAGTAGACTCTTCTGAATTTTTTCACTACAACCACCTTGCAAAGGCAAGAAAGGATCACAGGACAATGTTTACGGCTTCATTCATACATGGCTAAATCTAGGTGGTATAAGAGACAATCCTCCAGGGCTCGGCACAGCTAATCCAGTGGACTTGATCATTTTCCTTCAGAAAGGACACCCACCTTGCCCCACACCATGCTCACTTCTCTCCTCTGATTCCCTCCTTGATATCCTGCGTTCAAAGCCCAATTCCAATTTCATATCCAAAAATCCCTGATTGCCCCCCTCCTTTGAAATGTAGGTACTCAGCAAGAGAAATTCACCTAACTCTAGGCACAGAAAGGAAGAATTGAAGTTCAAGGTTTCCTTAAGAGTTCAATTAATATGACAAAGTCTGAAGAGCTGGGTTCCTGGCTAATCCTATCAGCTATTATCTTCAGAGCAGCAGCAGCAGTATCACTACTAGCTAGTTTATCATGCACTTTCTCTGAGTATGAACTGTGCCAGCGTGTTACGTGTTTTATTTCATTTGATTTTTGCAACACTGTAAGGTTGAAACTCTTACCCTCATTCTGCAGATGGAGGAGGCAGGCTAGAGAGGCCAAGAAATTTGCCCACGATTGCACATTTAGTAAGTAGCAGAAATGGGACTCTAAACAGATCTAATACCATGTCTGAGTCTGAACTGCTTTGCCATAATACTTTCTTGGTACATTTCTGACTATAGCCACAAAGTGATAGGATTCACAACAGACCATTCGTCTCTCTGTGAATTGTGAGGTAAGCAACTAATTGCAATAAAACTCGCTTTGTTTAAGATCCTTCAGGAAGCCTGCTTGATATAATGGAACCTCTGCACCAGTGGAAAGCATCCCCCACTTAGGAACTCAGTCAGTAAAAGGAACTTCACAATAGAGTATTAGTTGTGGTTTCTGCTCATCCATCTTCCTGACTTTGCCACAAAACAATAATCATTAAAAATCAATTTTCAAATATAGTGCCATAAGAATAGTAATTAAGGGACTCACCCATCTCAACAGTCCAATTACTAAAATTAGTTAAGATTCAACACTTTAGTCTAAGAGCAAAATCTTTTTATTGTTATAACATATCACAGAGCAATCAAATTTCTTTCTTAAAATAAAGTTTTAAAATGTTCAATCTTTCCTATTCTCTTGGGAAGTAACATTTTAATACATCAAACATGCACAGCAGAGAGTAAAGTTCATTTGACTAGATCTACTCACTCTACTTCAATTTCAATAAGTTAATATGGTGGGGAATAAACTGCTCTGGCTGGAAAGTTTGCTCCAATTTTTAACCTTCTTAACTCAAGTAAATCACAGTTTATCTTCTCTGGGTCAATTTTAGCTGAACACCACAACCACTTAAGATGCTCAGTGAGAGATATAATTACTTTTAATCATATTATTTTTGCCATGGTTGTATTTCTGTTAATCCACAGACATACATCTGAAATTCATAACTACATGGACATACTTTTTCATCTTTTTCTATTTATCAATTAGAAATAGATTATAAATGGAGCAAGCACAAGTCATTATTAAGAGGGAAACCACTGTACTTTTAAGTGTTACAACTATTCATTTAATTATCCAAATCAGTAAGCATTTTTCCAATGCCAGCAACGCTGTCTTCTTTCAATTATAACATAGCTGCTGTGTTTGGGCCTTATATTATACTACAGCTAAGGAGAGGCATGACTTTATTTTTAAGGTCCTTAATTCAAAGGTTTTCTTCTATGTGTTAAGAATTGTTATATTAAAATATAATGGCAAGAAAAACTCAACTGTAACAAAATCTGTTTTCTTTGGAAACAGTTTTTACAACTTTGCACCCAGGGATAACTTTGTTACTTTGTAAAACAGCTTCCCAATACAAAAGCTATTAGCCCAAACAAAGAAAAGTTTCCACTGGCAAAACAATTAAAAGTATAAATGAGCAAAAATCCAATTTAAACCACAAGTCCTGATATTCTGAGGCTCTGGGACTCAATTCAAAGGAATTAGTTTCCAATAACAATGACAACAAAAATCAAGATGATCTTGGGCAGTGGAGAAAAGCAGAACTGAAGAGGTGAGGTGATGTATCGTGAAGTGATGAGGCCATCAGCCACTTGAGCCACAAAAATCTCTGAGGCAGCAGAGCTCGGTGGTATATGCTACCTTGGTTCTCTCCTCTTGTTCCCTTACTTGGACTCATTAACCTCTTTAAGACATCATCCACCTCCTCCAGAACTAACTGGGACTTCAGGAGATGAGTGGGGTGTAAGTTCAGAGATCCTGGCTTCAAGCAAATATCCCTATTAACAGAAAATAGGTGAGGGGAAGAAAAACAAAGAAATAAAGAAAGAAAATTATTTTTAAACATTTAAGTTTTGGGGGAAGTAAGGGAAAGGGAAAGAGGAATGACAATTTAGGTCCAGGAGAAATTATTGCTGGCACCAAGGACTTGACTGACAAGGTGGGAAAGTGAGGTTGCCCACCAGTCCACAGAACAATGAGCACCCCCTTTTCTGTACTTTATACCCCAGACCTAAGGTAGGGCCAAGTCTAGCAGCCAGATGATGGTTCAATTTCCCTAAGTAAGCAAAAAGTAAAAATCTTATCCATAACTAATTACTCAAATTAAATCTGTACTTACAGAATGACAAATCCTGAAACACCTTACAAACAGAAGCCACAAAATATCATATTTATATTCAACTGTTCAATCACTTAAACATTTTTCTGAGACCCTAGTAAGCCAAGGGATTCAGAGACACAGCTCCTACCTCCACATAGTTGACTGACAGTATAGAATGGAAAGTAAGATGTGCTTAAACACAAAAATAAACAAACAAAAACATTTCCAAATAGGATATGTAAAATTTTTAGTGCAAATAATTATCCTGTACCAAGTTTTACATAAAATTGGGTTATAAATCCCCAAGAAAGACAAGAAACAAGAAATAAGGGTGGGAGTGTGAAAAATACTAATGGTAACAGCAGCTAACACACAAGAAAGGGCTTTACATATATTGTATCATTTTATATCATTTAATCTTCACAACAACCCTATGAGAGAGGTACAATTTCCCCATTCACCAAGAAGGGAAGTTGAGAGAGGTCAAGAAACTTGCTTAAGGGGCATAACTTCTAAGTGACAGAGTTGGGATTTGAATCCAGGCACCCTAGCTCTTAACTCCATTTTGCTGCATATAATAACAAGAACATTATTACCAACACAACAAAGCTGCTATATATTGCAGACCCGTAATCTACGTACTTTCATTCATTTTTTTTGAATACACACATCTCTATATTTTACAAATGGAAAAATTACAATTCAGAGAAACATCCTCAAGGTTATACAAGTTACAAGGAGATGGAGTTAAGATTCAAACCCAGATGGCTCAGATTCCGAAGGCTCTTTTGACTCCACCCCACAACCAAACTTGCACTCTTTACCCTCAACAAAGTCAAGCCCCGTCCCTCCGGGAGACCGCCAACACCACCCACTCCTGCCTCGCGCCTCAGAGACACACTCGTTCAGACCGCGTTCCACAGCCCCCAGCCTCACCGCTCCCCGGACCACCCCGCCCGGCAGGGGCAAGGTTCTCACCAGGCGGGAGTCGGGGGACCCTCGCAATCTTGCTGGTGATCTCTGCAGTGAGCACCGCGAAGTCCTGTTCATAGCCTTCGAAGTCGGACGACATGGCTGCTGCGGAGTGACTGTCGGGGGTCAGAGCCTAGGTCAGGGCAGGGGCCTCGTGAGCGGGGCCGGGGGCCGCGTCTCAGGGAACCCTGGAAGTGCCCTCGAGAGCAGAGCGGAGAACCGGGGACAGCTCCCAGCCCATTCGCTTCCTGGTTGTTCGTCGCAATCTCGGTCCTCCGGAAATTGGGCTGCGAGCGCTTTTTATTTTCCGCTCAGGCTTCAAGATTAAGCAGTTCGCTAAGGAAAAACGGCTCAATTCGTGCCCCTGCAAAAGCCTCCAAAATCATACGAGTTCTCTGGGATCACTGAACCAATTTTCCCCCCTGTGTGTTCTGGGAAACGGCTCCGGCTCCCCAAGCTACAGGTCACAGAAGCTTGCTTCCCGAGGAAAGTTTGATGAGGAAACCTCCCGGAAGTGGCTGTGACGGAGACTGCTCAGGGTGCCTGAGCGGGAGAGTAGCAGCGAGGGCGCTGGCGGAGAGACGCACCGGCCGTGGCAGGCCCCGCATTCCAGCCTCCCGCAACCAGGATTTGCTTTCCGCTTGCCCTGGACTGAGGTTTCCAAGACGGAGTCATCCCAGGAGGAGAAAATCTGTTCCGGGTGAGCCCAGGCCGCCCCGGATATGCGATGGCTGAGGAGCGGGCGCCAGGGACCAGACTGAGGTGGGAGTTGAGGCAGGGAAGTAGCCACGATTTTGGCGGTCTTCCTCACCAGAGTGGGGTCACAGTCTCCGGAATGTTGAGACCAACCCTGATTGCCAGGATGTTTCTTCCCTGAGTGAGGATTTACTTTTAAACGCTCTGCTCCATAACACGGGCGGGAAACTGAGGCACAAGGCAGCGGGCATCTGTTGCGTGGGAACGTCTATTATCCATGTATCTCAGATCCTCAGTCAGAAATACCCTACAAATCTTCCCCGCGCTCGCTGTCCTGCCTTCCCGCTCCCTCGCTCCCGGAGGCACTTCCTTTTCTTCTTCTTTTTTTTTTCCCCCCCAGCCCCCTCAAATCTTATTCATGTTCTTTCTCCTACACTCTTTTAGTCATGATTTCACTCACACCCCGTCTCCCTCCTTCTCCTTTTCTCCTCCCCTCCTTTCCTTGCTTTCTTTGTTTTCACTCTCGCTTCTTTACTTTTGCCCCAAATAAACTGTTATGTTAACGTTTAGGGGGCAACTGCAGGCAAATGGCGTAGACCATGTCTGACTCATGCTTGGCTTAACTCAAGAGACTTCCTAAGAGGCAGTTTGAAACTCCTTAAAGCGAGTTCGATGACTTGGCTTCTATTTTGGGTTCAGCTGTTGCTTGTGACCTTGGTCTAATCGCTTAGCCTCTCTAAGTCAATTTCTGTTCTGTGAAGAAGGAAGCTGGATTAGAATCAACTCCAAAGCTCTGATTCCCAGCTCTAAAATTCTTTGTCTTCTCAAACCAATCACGAAGTGTTGGACAGTTGAGCTGAGGAGGAAAGATAAAAAACAACTATTTTGGAATCATATATCCAGTTTACATGCCATTCAAACTTTAAGTGTATTTTGGAACAATCAAAAGTAATTCTTTGACGTTCAACAAAACGCTCATCCCAAAGTAATGCACTTGTGAGATGCTTTTGTTTAGGTGCTTGTTGAAGTTAACAAATACAGCATATAATAAAGTTTTTTACTGAACTTTCTCATTTTTTTTTTTAGGTTGTTTCAAAGCAAGATACTGGATTCTTCTAGTTAAGGGTTTTTGAGTGCTTACCAGTGAAAAATGGCATAATCTGCATTAACATTTGACAACTTGAAGGCATGACAATTAAAGAACACACATGGACTTGTGGCACATGGAAATGTGTGCACAGAAAAAGGAAATCTGTAACTATTTAAAAGTAGGAAGGCGTTCTTCCTCTCCAAAATGGGTACATTCTGCTCAGTTATCAAGTTTGAAAATCTCCAAGAATTAAAGAGACTGTGTCACTGGGGTCCCATCATAGCCCTTGGTGTTATAGCAATATGTTCTACGATGGCCATGATTGACTCTGTGTTGTGGTATTGGCCCTTACATACAACTGGAGGAAGTGTGAATTTCATCATGTTGATAAATTGGACTGTCATGATTCTTTATAATTACTTCAATGCAATGTTTGTCGGTCCTGGATTTGTCCCTCTGGGGTGGAAACCGGTAAGAAAAAGATTCCCTAAGACAATGAACTCTAATAATAATCCTATATTTAGTTTTTGCCTTATCTACTAACCATTACTATCAAATACAGCCTACTCTTTACCTGGTAAAGACTGTGTATTATTCTAATCACTGATCATTTATGCTCAGAGCATTTATGTCATGTCTGTTTGAAAATACTGATCCAAATTAGTGCTTTCCAGAGCAATTTCATTGAATATTTACCTTGCATTAAAAAAAAAAAAAAAAAAAAAGTGAGGTTTAGGGTGGGTCCCTGGCCAAAATTTAGGAAACACCGTTTATCACATACAATGTATCTTTAGCTCTAGGGTCTTTTTTCATGTACATTAACATTTCTCAGAACTGAGAAAAATACTTTAGAAACTGCTGGTTTAAGTCATAAAGTTTTAAAATCATTGCAGTTAAAATATAACATTGGGAAGTATAGTATGAATCAATTTATGGCTTCTTAAAAATTGTTAGAAAGTTTATGCTTATGAATGTCCATGTTTCCTCCTGAGGGACATCACCTGGTAGCTTGTTAGAAATGCAGAATCTTGGACTCTACTCCAGATCTACTTAATTAGAATCTTTATTTTATCAAAGTCCCCAGATGATTTTTAGGTATGTTAAAGTTTGAGAAACACTGGTATGTATGGTGTGCTATGTACTATTCAAAATGAGTACAGAGATGGGTAAGATACCATTCATATTCTGAAAAAGCTTATAACTTAGGAATGAAACCAATGCACTTGTGCAAATAACTGGAGTGTGGTGAGTGCTGTCGAAGTTAAAAGAACTGAGCATTTATAGCTGGGGACCTAAGGGAGGAGTGGGAATTTCCACAGGACATGAAGAAGAGGGCGTTTCAGGTTGAGAGAATGGTAGGAGCACGTGTTCGGAAATAGTGGACAGCGTTGTGTCCACTGCGACTGGAAAAACGATTATGTAGTGCAGAGAAAGCTGAAACAAAGGCAAATCACGGAAGGTCTTGAATATATGAGAAACTGTTGGACTATAGGGAGTTGTTGTAGGTTTTCAAGCAGAGTTCTGACATAGAGTTGTTATGGGAATATTATTTTGATAACACACGCTTTGGATTGGAGAGAAACTACAGTAAAGGAAACTAGTTAAGAAGTAATTAAAATGTCCCCAGAAGGGGGGAGTGACAGTGATAATATCAAGGAGGAGGCAGATTTCAGAAAGAGTATCAACTCATTCTTGAATTCCCACTCTTAAAATACTTGCCAAGTTGTCAACTACCTTTTTCCGAACTCCTCCCATTCTAGTAAGATTTGGGGTAGTAGGACCAACTAGTGACAATGGATTTGGGTGGGAATGAGGAAGAGAAATTAAAAATGACTTCTAGGTAATTGGAAGAACAATGCTGTTCTTACCAGAAATTTGTTATTTAAAAATATTTTGGCTCAAATAAATGGACTAGAGATGCAGGTAAGATTCCATCCTTCCCTATCTCCCATAAAAGAAAATCATACCATAGGAAGGCATTTATTTATAAATTCTGACTTATTATTTGGGTTCAGGTATCTCATGTATTTTTGTTCCTATTTTGCTGCCAAGGAAAATTCTCAGGATACCATGTATCTCCAGTATTGTAAAGTCTGCCAAGCATACAAGGCACCACGTTCACATCACTGCAGAAAGTGTAACAGGTACCTGTCTTTCTTGCTGTTCATTGGAGGCTGTTCAACTTGTTACTGGGCTTTTTTTGTTGTTGTTCCTTTTGCTTCATAAATCCTAGTTTTATTCTCTGCAATGTTGCCTCTCTATAAAAAATATTGTCAAAATACTTGTGTCCATAATCTTCACTTTACACTAAATTATCAATCCAGATAATAAATAAATTTCATTCTTTTTTGTTATAAATGAAAATATTTTTCTAGAAAATTACAGATTTACTTTGCCTTTTGTCCTGCAAGAGCAGGGTATAAAGTTGTACCTTCAGTTTGTTTGCTATATCAGGATTAGTTGTGTTTGTCAACTGTAATCTTGACTCACTTTGAATTTGTTGTGTCTAAATAATAAAGGAGACCTGCTTTTCCCATTACTTATGGACAAACATTTATACTTCATACAAATCTAATAAATGAATCCAGGTGCCCATTATCACAAGTGTTTTAATATCAAAAGCTTAATGGGAAGAAAACTGAATCACTATTTAAAAATTTGAAATAAGCTAGGACCTTTTTTAGTGAACAGCTATATCACTGAGTAATAAGAAATTTAGAGAACCATCGAAGGCAAATAAAGTTTGATGTGAGGCCAGGACATTTTCTTCTAGCAAAAATAAGGAACAGAAGCACAATAAGACTTTGCTTATTATACCACATCTTTTATTCTGGAGTTAGCTTGCTTAGTTCAGAGATTTCATATCTAAAGGATACTATGAAAACTGGAAGGAAGGAAGTTACAAGTGTTAGTTTGGGCCCATCAACTCCAATGGAGATTTATCAGTGATTTTGTTGAGTCTCTATTGTAGTTCACTCTAGTTACTACATTTCCACCCTAGAGGAAAACCAGAGAACCATGATTTCTTTATATTGAGTCTCTAATTTCTTTAAACAAATACACTTGTAGCTGACATGTTTTCCTCAGATGCTATTACAAAGCCTGCCCTTTCTTGTGCTGTTTAGAATTTGAAAGGAGTCACTGTTCATAATTGTTTAAAAGCTCATAAAGATTTTTCTTTTTGTTCCATGAAGTGTAATTCCCCTATGACTCACGGACATGCTGGATTCCTGTTTGCTTGATCTTTTTTTTTTTTGAGGCAGAGTCTTACTCTGTTGCCTGGGCTAAAGTACCATGCATCAACCTAGCTCACAGCAACCTCAAGTTCTTGGGCTCAAGCGATCCTCCTGCCTCAGCCTCCTGAGTAGTTGGGACCACAAGAGAGCACCACCACACCCGACTAATTTTTTCTATTTTTTAGTAGAGACGGAATCTCGCTTTTGCTCAGGCTGGTCTCTAACTCTTGACCTCAAGCGATCCTCCCACCTCAGC